AGCCAGGTACCACAATAAGGATAAACTTCACAAGCACTGAGTTGAGTAAAAGTAGCAAGTTGTAGAAGAACCCATGCAGTATGATTCTATCCATGGAGCATGTCTTAAGGAGCATTCCCCCATGTGTACAAATTCACAAGGAACCCTTATGTCATTATCATAGAAGGCAGAATTGCTGGTACCTTCTCTTATGGTAAAGGAGAAGTGGAGAAGGAATTATCAAGAAAGGGTCACTGAGCCTCTGGCAACCCATGTCTCCTTGCCTTGAGTGGGAGTTCTATCTGTGCTCATTTTAAAAATTTCTGCATAAGAGGGTGGTACTTCCAAATATTTGTGGGAAAGTGAAATTAAAAGATACATTTAAGAACAGGTATTTGGTGGCTCTATCCCACATTAGAGTACTTGGGTTTGAGTTAAGGTTCTATTTCAGGCTCCAGTTTCCAGCTGCTATGCATCCTGTACTTGCTATGCATCCAAGTACTTGGACTTGGATAGTCTTTTCCAGGCCACTAACTCGGGGCTCCTTACTTCAGCCTGACCTAGCCCCACCCCCTTGTGAGCATGTGGGAAGTGAGTTAGCAAATGGGAGATAGCACACACTCTCCGTTTTTCAAATAAATAAAAATACTTTTTCAAAAAGCAGTACATTTTTAACATGTTATTTTTGATGAGGTTTACACAATTGGTTAACAGGTGAGACAACTATTTCTACACCTTCCTTTTCTTCTTCCATATCTGGGGAGAGAGGGGAGACAAGTGGAGAAGCCACGCTCAGCCTCACAACCGCCCCAGTACTCAGGGATGAGGAACAGACACCCAATGTCATCCCAGGGTCCCTGATGTAGAGCACGTTCTGAGGGTTCTGTTCATGTGGTTTCGATAGTTCTGACATGAAAGTAAGTTTGTATTGGTGCAAAATGAGTTTTGAAATTATGCAGTTTTTCATAATACACAGATGACATGAACTTTCTGAAGAATACCGAGATTGAATGGATGGATTTTCATGTTTTTGCACCTTTAAATAAGCCCATCTTTTAACTCTGTTTTCCGTGTTTTATATAATCCTCTAGATATATAAGCTATCTCCAATTTGGAAAAATTAAAGTCGTATGAAATTGACAGTCCTGGAGGCCCAACTCCCTGATTTTATAATTTTGAAGATGGATGCTCAAAGAGGTCAGGAGGCTTCCCCAGAGCCACAGGATGTGGCTTATTAAACTGGGGCTGGATTGAGACTCCTTGTTCAGTTGTCCCTTCTGCTCCATCTCCTGGGCAAAAGCTCTCCCTTGGGGAGGGGCAGGGAGGAGCACAGCTTTTGTTTTGGGAGAAAAGAAAAAGGGTTAGTTGGTGAGTTGATCTAATGAAGAGCTGGCTCACTGGCTGAGGATTTCACTGTTTCTAAAAGGAAGTTTTGAACTTTTATTTGTGCCCCATTATTGTTATAAGGCCTGTAATAGTCCTAATAATGATAACATTACAAAAACCCAATCCCAGAACTCTCTGGCAATGCTGTGATCCGGTTAGACTCCTGCACCACCTGATTTTGCCAATGGTATCAGATGTGGGTGCGGGCACGAGGGTGGGGGCAGGGTGGGGGGGGTGGCTGGGCCAGGGGAGGAAGGACAGGGAGCCAGGAAGTCTGCAATCTTATTGACTTATCCACCTGGCCTAGGTGAGACCCCCTCGCCCTGGGACAGTCAGGAAAGGAACCTCTGCTATCTCTCTGAGAGCTTTTTTGTTTTGTTTAGAGGTCAATTACTTCCCATTTGGGGAACTTGTGAACATTAAGAGGTGACCAGAGTGACGGGCCTGAATGATGCAGATAAGAAGCTGATTGCTTGCAGAGCGGCTCCCTGGTAAAAGCCCTGCCTGGGATAAGCGGTTGTCGGGAAAGGACACACAAAAAGGAGCAGCTTTCAGTGTGATGGAGAGATTACAGAGATGGAAGACTACAGCGGCTGCAGTGGGTGTGATGAGCTGGGAGATGGATGTGTTTTAAAGTGATCCTGACAAGCGGAGAGTGGAGAGCTGGGAAAGCAGAGTCCTTCTTCGCTCTCCTTTTCTTTAGAAGAAAACTTGCAGGAGTCATGTGGAATCTCAAACTTTCTCACAATGGTCTACAGAAAAAAGCCTAGGCACATTTCTAAAGTCAGAGAAGCGTTTGGTCTCTAGTTCACACTCTCAAATGTCTGCAGCAGCTGGCCCTCTCCCACGGGTGGCAGGGACCCACACACTCGAACCATGCTGCATGCATCCCAAATAGCATCTTAACGCCTGCTCAAGTTCTCACCTCCATGTTTCATAAAGAGCAACCAGGTACAAATGCCACAGCATTCTGGAGAGCATAACCAAAAATGTGGTTGGCCATGGAAGCACCTAAAGGGTCTTAGGTAGATATTTAAACATCAGCCACACCTCTTCAAGTCAACCAAACGCAGTCAACAAATTGCTGGAAGCTTTCTTGAATATATCATGACTACTAAAACACATGGCCCTGGCTTTGGCATATGCCCGATTGACTTGTCTCAATTCCAAATTCCAAAGTCCTCAGCTTGCCTGAAACCTCTCCCAGCTGGCAGTGCCTTCCCACACTAGTCACCAGGCTTAACCCTCGTTGAGTGCCCCAGCTCACACTGGATTCTCTCGCTGTCTAGAGAGAGCTTATTTTCTATCTGACAGTGGCATATACCACCTTGTATTTTTAGATACATTCCTCATGTTGGTCTTTGCTGTCCAGACAGATAAGTCAGTTCCTCAAGGGTAGCTGCCAGACCATACTTTTTCTTTTGTGTCCCACAACAAGTACTGAGTCACTGGTGACCAAACTCACCAAGAGCCCGAGTTCCTTCATTGTTTTTCTTCCCCCGCTTCTTCAGATGGCAGCCAAAGGTGTGGCGAGTCTCACCTGCCCTAACTCTTCAGGTAACACCTGTTTGTAACATCGTAAGTCTGTTAACTGCTTCTTCTGTCATTTTCCCATGCTGGAAGGGGATGAGAGGGTACTGGAAATAACATTTTTCAATTCCTCACCGTATACGTTTACCCAAACATCTTCATTTCTGGGATAGGAAATCTTAAAGTTGAAAGGATTTTTTAAGTTAACATGTGCTGCCTAGTGATGTTTTAGTTAACACCGAGTCACAAATAAGGTAGCTTCATAAATTACAACCAAAAAAGTAGCTTTCACCTAATATTTTTACTGTGGTTTCGACATGTTTTCATTAAAATACCACTGTTACGGTTGGTTAGAATGCTCAGTACTGTATTATTGTGAGAAGTGTGTGGTTTCACAGCAAGAGACAATATCACATAGCCTAGGTGTGTAGCAGGCTGTGCCTTCACCAGGTTCACTCAGAGACAAAATTGTCCATGATCTGTTTCTCGGGATGTGACCCCATCACTAAGTGACTCACGACTGGGGAGTGTTTTATAGTGGACATTAGAGAAATGCAATCCAACTCAGTCACTGAGAGCCAGCAGACTGTCCTGTGTTCAAGTGATGTCCCAGATGACAACCCATGAGGAGACAGACACACGTGGTAGCACCGTATGACAATTCTGTCTTGGGAGACCTCTTCACTCTCATCCATAGTTTTTTTTTTTCTCAATTTAGTTGGCTAAGGAATATTTATTGAGATTTCTAAATTTGAAGTCCACACTGTGCTTTTTGATCCCAGAGAGAACAATATTAACTACAATTGAAGGACACACTAGGTGTTTCTAGATACACTTTTATTAGACATGAGAAAATAAATAAGAAAGTGATAAAAACAAAAAGGAAAGAAACTGGGAATGGTAGTAAGGGAAAAATGCACAATTATTCCTTTGATGCTACCTCAAACATATTAACTTTTGTGGATATAAGTTCTCACTACCCAATCAGAGTTTCCATTGAACTCCAGTAGGCTGTTTCTTTAGTGAAAACAACCAGTGTTCAGAAAGGAGAAAATGCCAGGGAAGCACATGTTTTTATTAAATATGAGCATTTATTATATAATAGGTTTTAATCTCTGATGAATCAGGGATCTGGGAGGATGAAGGACTGGAGTTTTTGTTGTCTAAAAATGTGAGCCAAACAGGGAGGATGGGGAAATAGAATATGGTTTTCTAACTTTGTCCTGCCAGAGGTGAATATTTATAAATTTGTAAAATGAATTTGTTTTCTGCTTTTCAATTGCCCTCACACTCAAGCGCACTGAAGTTATCAAAACTTCATAAATGTGGGTATCCCAAAGTTCAGGCTTTCTCCCCATCTGGTTAGGATTTTAGGGCCACGTGGGGCTCCTTTCCTGGTGTGGAATAAATCTCTTCTTAAAGACAGTCTGCAAAGAGGAAGGGAGAAGTGTGAACCAAGACACCAGGGAACGTCCTCCAAGCACACAGGGCTAGGTCCTGCAGAAGGTAGTTGGAGGGACTGTGCTGTACCAAAAATGCAGCGATAGCAAGGGGAGCTCCAAAATGCTGGGGCTTGTTCCCCGAGAACAGCAGCAGTCAGCAAGTGTGAACCAGAGTGCACTGTTAGGGTTCATAGCAGGCACAGCCCTGGGGGCTGCTGGAGAGCGTCCTTGGATGCAGGGTTCACCTCTTGAGTCCTTAACCTCCCAGTTCCCACACTCTTCTCCGCGTCTGTTGGCGGGGGATGGGCACGTTTTCCCATCACAAACTCCCCAGTTCCCAATGGCTGCTGTACGCGGAATTACAGCGACTCCAAGGTCCCTGGGGGTTGAAGATGGAAAAGCCACTGGCTTCCGGGGGTACTCCAGAAACTGCCAGCCGCTCTTCCTTCCCGCTGCTGCTTTGCCTGGAGGGTGGGATGGAGGGAGTCCAGGGTTTTCATCGGGACGCCGGGCAGGGGCGGCTAGCAGTCCCTGATCACTAGGGGTAGAAGTGCTTCCAGCACCGCAGCGGTTTGGCACCTAGGGGAGGAAGCCGAGTCCCGGGTCTTGGAGGGTGCGTCTGAACACAAATGTCTCACCACGCCCTGACGCCGTGCAGCTGTCTCACCACGCCCTGACGCCGTGCAGCGTAGCGGGCAGTTGGTCCTGCGGGGCGGTGTTCAGGCTTCCGGGGCCGAAGCCTGCGCTAGCCAGCGGCGTGGGACTTGGGGTCGCGCCCGTGTAGCAGCCGCCGTAGCCCGCGCCGTAGGGCGCACTAGCATAGCCTCCATAGCAGGAATAGGAGGCTGCTGCAGCGCCAAAGGGATCGGCGAAGGTGGGTGCGCCTGGGCCCAGGCAGGGCTTGCCGTCGCGAACCAGCACGGGCACTGCCACGCGGCGCGGAGCTAGAGGATGGCCGGCCAGTTCCAGCGACTTGTCTTGGCGCTGCCTCTTGCACTTGTAGCGCCTGTTCTGAAACCAGATTTTGACCTGCGTGGATGTAAGCTGCAGCGCACTGGCCAGGTGCTCGCGCTCGGGAGCCGACAGGTACCGCTGCTGCTTGAAGCGCCGCTCCAGGGCCAGCACCTGCGCTTGCGAAAATAGCACGCGTGGCTTCCGCCGCTGCCGCGCCTTGGACAGCTCCGCGCCGCCACCGCGCACGCCGTCACCGCTGCTGCTCAGGCTGCGCTCCGGCACCGTGGTTGCGCCGCGGAGGGGGGAGGCCGCACCAAGGTTCAGCTCTAAAAGCACAAAAAGGAAGGAAAAGCATCAGCACCCAGCCAAAGCAGCCATTTTTTACGACTTTTTCAAGAGATTTCCTCTTCTCCCCTGGTAGCCTCTTTCCTGTCCCCAGGCGTACATGGATATTCCTTGGCCCAAACTCCTTGGCTCCAAGGCCGGCCAGAACATAAACAGTAACACTTGGGTTCTGCAGTACGCGCCTTTCCCCAGAAGTAAACGCTAGATCCAGTCTGTGGTAACAACGTTTTCTTCTTCAAATACGTGTGGAGGCAACATCTGTTCTTATTTTTTGTTTTTATTTATGCGAAAATTAGAATTACAGAGAGAGGGGACAGGGAGAACTTTGATCCACAGAGCGACTTTACCTTGCTAGACCACAACACTGGCCCAACTTCAGCCATGAAGATCAAATAGGAATGTGAGGTTATATTTAGGCTGTCCTTGGGAGAAAAGGAGACTGGGGAGAGAGAGACTCACTGTTTCTCAGAGAGAAGCTTAAGGCTCAAGTCCTCCTCATTACCCCGCCAGGCTATGGGGGGGGTGGGGAGCACAGTTGGAGTCCAGGGGATTTAGTCAAAGTGCCTGTCCACACACACTCTGTGGTCAGCACTCCTCAGTGCACACCGCACCACACACGCATCCCACATTACTGTAATCCAAATTAACAAAATGAATCCAAGCATTTCCTGATTCGTAGCTCCCCAATCGAACACTCTTAGGGCAGATGTGGAATTGAGACCCAGCCCTGGGCGACGGCTCAGTGGCTAAATCCTGGCCTTGCCCGGCCTCTCCACTTCTCTTCCAGCCTGTGGCATAGAAAAGCAGTGGAGAATGGCCCAAAGCCTTGGGGACCGTACCCTCCACATGGGAGACTGGGGAGGCTCCTGGCTCCTGGCTTTGGATCAGCTCAGCTTGGAGGTTGTGGCCATTTGGGTAGCGACCATCAGACCGATCTTTCTCTGTATCTCCTTCCCTCTGTAAATCTGCCTTTCCAATAAAAACAAATCCTTAAAAAAAAATAGAAGAAATTGAGACCCATATTTGAATTTTTTTAAGCAACAGGCTCTTCCTTTGGGGTCTTCCTACATAAGCGGCGGGGGTGGGGGAGCGCTTCACTCTTAAGTCTCTCCCTCCCCTGGCCCCAAACACCCAGCAAGGCGGCTCCCACAGCGGTGGTGCCAGAAGGCCCGCAGAGCTGCGGCTTTTTTCCTTTCCTCATTTTGCTCTTCTGTCTCCGCTTAGCTGTTTTGCTCCAAGGATGAGTAGAGAAGAAATAATGAATTTTTCTGGACACTTGGGCGCCCTGACAAAGCCAACAGGTGAACGCACCCAGTTAATGCTTGCGCAGGGCGGAATGCGCCTCCAAATCGGGTATCTACAATTTAAGGGAAAAAAAAAAAAAAACTTCCTTTGGAGAGATGGGCTTTTAGAAAAACTGAAACCAGCTCCCCTGACAAGGTAGAACAATACTGAGTGGGGTTGAAAATAGCAACTGCTCTTCAACAACGCTAGGGAGCAAGCGCAGGACCCTCCCCCAACCCCCATAGGAAAGCGGCTGATTGTGCTCGCGAACTTTGCTGCGACGCACAGCACAGGCGCCTGGCCCCTTGGTGGTCACCAATCCGGGGTCGCACCGACCCGGTGTGCCCAAAAGCAAAGTGGGCCGCCCCGGGGTCGTTGAGGCTCCTGAGGCCCGGCAGGCGGGTCTTCTCCCAGGGGTCGCTACCCCGGAAGTGGCAGAGGGGACGCCGCTCGAGTTTGCCGGCTTTGGAGGAACGCAGAGCGGCCAGCTCCCCGCCTCGCAGGGCCCGGGGAACGAGGCTGTGTCCGCCTCAGAAAAGCCTCGGCGAGCGCGGCGAAACCTCAGCCCTCCGAAAATGAGCCTGCAATTCCTAAGCACAGCGCCTGGCCTGCGAGGTGTTACTCCGGGCCTTCACTGAGGTCCGTGCCTCGGTAAGTCGGACCTTCCCGCCCCAAAGCTGCCGGGTCGCAAAAGCCAACAAGGCGCGTCTCCCCCCCTGCCCGCGCCTTCCCCTCCCGCAGTCCGACGGCAGACACGCGGGGCACACGGACTCCACTTGGTCCCCCCACCAACCATTTTCCAGATAAGGAGTTCGGGGCCGAGGAAAGGCGAGGGGCACGCGCCCAGCGAGCTCTGAGGAAGGGCCGGCCCGGCGCGTCTGACCCCAGGGACTGTGCGAGCTCCCACCTGGAAGGCTACGCCCCCCTCGCCTCAACATTGCAGGGGTTTGGAAGACGGCAGGGGAGGGTGAGCTTAGCACCGCCGTGGGTGCCGGGAGGCGGGGGCTCTGGCATCACGCGTGACCGCGGAAGCGACGCCCTGGTGGAAAGAGTGAACTCTGCATTCTGGCCCTTATTTCTCGTCAGCACTCCGGGTGTCGGAAGAGGGGAGAGTGGGAGCCGAGAGGCTGGTGTTTTTTGTATTCTTCAAATGAGGAAAACATAGGAGAGGCCGCAGGGGCCCGGGACCCCAGGAGATGCGTTTTCCCCTAAACGCAGGGCCTAGACCCGCGTCAGGGCCTAGACCCGAGCGCAGACTCACGTGGCTCCCGCAGTGGTTCCGTGTCCATCTCCTTGTGCGCCTCGTGGGGAGCCGCAGGAGGCTCCGCTCGGCCTTGTCCCGGGTCGCCGCCGCCGCCACGGTCACCGGCGCTGTGGATCTCGGGCTCTCGGGGTTCCGGGTTTGTCCTCCGCGCCCCGCAAAGTGGCGAAACCTGAGGGCCGCTCAGCTCGCGCTCTGGCCGCAGGATGTCCTGGACGGAGAAGGGGGTGGAGGTGACGGGGCTCGGCAGCATCCCGCAGCGGAGGGGGCGGGGCCCGGGGGTCGCCGTCCCCGCGCCCTGGGTAGCCTTCAGCTTCCCGGCTGGTGGCCGCAGGCGGATCCGAGCGCTGGGAAAAGACTCGCAGGGTCCTCTGAGCCATCTCCATGGGCCACCGAGGTTGTCGCGCCCTATTGGTTCCTGCAGAAACCACGTGCTGACCCTGCACCTTCCTCCCTGGGCGCCCTCCTAATCCTTACAGTCCTTGGCCACCTTCCTGGGAGGTTAGAGTCCCTGACGCTTCTCCAAAGAGAACCTGGAGCCACGGTGCCGCCACGCACCGCTCGCGTCAATACGGTACTCGCGGTAGTTTCTGCGGTCAACCCAGGGTCCAGTGGCACACCTCTTAGAGGACGTGGGGGGTGGACTCCTCGCCGTGCAACCCAAGCCAGCCTGCGTGGCCCACTCTCCCGCAGAGTAACGCCCGCTGGGTACCCCTGGGATTTGAGGTGCTGGGTGGGAATCCAGCAGGCTTGGGACTTGGCCCGTGGCTGTCAAGCTTACGCCAGCGCACGGAGGCCAGACCGCCCAGGAGGAGCGAGTCTTGTCCTGCGCCATAGTCTAAATTTGCTTAAAGGAGGAGGTCACTTAATAGGAGCAGGGCCGCAGCCTGAGGGGCGAGGAAGGGTTTAGGATCTGTGCTGCGGAGCAAGTCCCTGGAAGCTGTGTCCTCACCCCTGCAGGGGCGAGGTGGAGGGAAGGTAAAAGTCTCCGCCACAGGAAAGTGCCAAGGAGGGGCTCAGCTCGATCCCCGACCCCCTTTGTTTTCGTTAGAACTCCTTATTGAAACCTCTGTGTTTGTGTGTGTGTGTGTGTGTGTGTGTGTGTGTGTGTGTGTGTGTGTGTGTGTGTACACTGTCGCCGGCTGAGAGGTTCTGGTAAGGCTCAGCTCTCCGAAGAGGTCCCTGGGACTTGGTTGACCCTCCCCGAAAGCAGGCGGAGTGGTGCGATGGTCAGGAGCTTGGGGATGGAGCAGACTGGTCTTTGTTCTGAAATGCGACCACAGGCTTTTGTGCAAAGTGTTAAGCTCCCTTAGCTTCGTTTTCGCTAATATATAACGTACATTAGGTATATGTTAATATATAATTAGCATGCCCATTGTAGGATGGCTGGCTGCAAGAACTGAGAAGTTCGCCGCTGGTCTTCCTTATTCTGAAGGAAACATAATTTGGGTTCCTGAAGTCGTAGCCCAGGATAGAAGGACATTTCAAATGCCTTAAAAATAAAAATGGGACCTGCGCAGAGTTCTTTTTGACATTTCATATCGAAGACTTCCTAAACCTTCTTGTGCAAATTCAAAGCTACAAAACTTGTTTGCATGTTATTGTTTCCTGAAATCCACATAAACCAATTTCATCTCCCCAGCCCCAGGCCAGTGGGCACAACATTTAATGTGGAAAAGAAATGGTGTGAAATGTCAATGACTTTGGTCATGCAGCCACCAGGTAGTGACTTCATCCTAGTACTTTTTAACTTTACATCTTTAACTGTGTCAATGGCTTTGATTATTTCCTCAGGATACATTTGTAGCAGAAACTTGAATGAATCAAATATTTTAATGCTCACAATAATATAATCCTATGTCTTCCCAGAAATATAATTTCCTGGTGTCCCGCCCCCCACCCAGGTGCTGGTCGGGTTGTTTTCTCCAACCCCTGGCACCACCAGAGTCAGTGAACCTAGACTTTTCCTCTGCTCTCTCCACTCTGAGGGATGCAAAACACACTCAGATGCGTACCCATGCCCTTTCCGAAGGCCGTGGATAGAAGGTGTGGAGACACAGAATAAAAATTTAAAGTCACCATCACACCTGGGAAAGCAGTAGGGACAGGAAACCCACATGGGAGACCCACAAGAAACTCCTGGCTCCAGGCTCCATTTTGGCAATGCAGTGTTTTGGGGAGTGAACCAGCAGATAGAAGAACTTTTTCTGCCCTTTGCTCTCTGTCCCCGTTCTGTCTCTTCAAATAAATAAACTAAATCTTAAAACAACAACATCAAAACTGAATTAGCCAGCCTGCCAGCACCTGTTGCAGTGGATCTTGCAGGAAAAAAAAAAAAAAATGACACCTTGGAAGCTACTAAGAATCAAAAGCCCCCGGAGTCAGATCCTAGCCTTATATCCCTGCACCAGCCTTCCTGGTTTGCTGCAAAGATCAAGTAAGTTTTTTGTTTGTTTTGTTTTGATGTTTTGTTTTGAAGTGAAGACATTAGCTAGTGGTACCAACACAAGTTCTTGCTAAGAACCCTGCTGCCTTGGTTCATTGCGGCTCAGGGGGAGAAGAGAAATCCATTCAGTTAGCCCAACTGCTGGGGGCGGCGGGACGCGTGGGAAGAAGCCTCCTTCCTTGGTGTACCCAGAGGAGGGGCAGGAACTTGCAAGGCAATGTTGGACTTTCAGCTCCCCCGCCCTCTGTTGTCTCCAAGGTGCCTGGGCTCGGCTTTGTCCTTTCCTCCCGCTTCTGCGACTAGGACCTTTCATTGCCGGCCACCAGTGAGAGGAACACGAAACTGCAGTCCGTCCTGCTGGGGTCTGTAGAGGCGCCTCAGCGTTTGCCTTTTGGCTTGAGAATGGACGCGAGCGACTGGGGCACCTGTCCAAGTGGGAGAGGAAATAGGATAAGCTGGGAATGCAAACCCTGAGTCCAACGAAGTGAGGCTGGGATTGGTGTAGTCAGGCAGTGTGTTGCTCTGTGTGTCCCTGGCTCACGAGTGGAGACTTTGTCACCTCTGCTGTTAGGATAAGAGGGAGATGGCCGAGCCAAGGGTGCGGGTGGATCTGCCATTCTCCACCCAGGTCGCACAGTGTCAAACTTACATCTAGGCCAGGTCTGCAGCCAATTTACAGAACCTGCCCTGCGCCAGCTCCTCTGGAACATTTAAGACGCTGAGGAGAGGAGAGCGCTCAGGACTTTCATCAGAACTGACCTCGCTCAAAAGGCAAACTGAAATAATCCTGATGCATTGGGATACCTACACAAACACAAAGAATTTGAACGTGGTATTTACTGAAATTATTAGTAACTATCCGTAGTTACCAAAAGTCCCTTTTTCTTTAACTTTCCCAATATGAAAGTATTCTTTTTTAAAGTTGGTGTACACAGCAGACTATTTTGGGTGCAATCTGGAGCTAGTGGGGCCAGAGCACTACTGGATCCCCACTACTCTAGAATGTGATTTCTGTGTCTGTTGTCAAGTGGTGTCCCCAGGGCCAGGATCAGTCCGACCCAAAGTAGGTTCCCAGCCCTGTTTGGCTAAGGGTAGCTCCAGGGGGTGGCAGATCAGATCCACTCTTTCTGAGGAGACTCCCCAAATCTCCTGGCACTTTCTGCTTTGTCATGGTCCCCTCTGCTGAGATCCATATGCTGTATCATGTTTGCTTTGTGAGTGTGTGAAATGCTAATGTGGCTCTAAAATTCAAAATTATGCAAAATCAAGCTCACAGAAATGACACTATTCCTCCTATTTTTGTTCCTAGTGCCCTTACTTTGCTGGTTGCTACATACTCCCAATTTCAGTCTCTCTTTTCTGTGTTTTAAGCACTTTAAAGTACTCATTTATCTTCATGTTCTTAGAAAGGCAATGACAGAGGGAGGTAGATGAAGAGAAGGGGAAAGGAACAAGAGGGAAGAGAAGGGAGAGAGAGAGCGAGCGCTCAGCTTTCATCTGATTCACAGTCTAAGTGCCCTGCAACAGCCAGGGCTGGACCAGGTTGAAAGCCTGTAGCCCAGACCTCAATCCAGGTCTCCCACTTCAATGTCACATTCATGTCCTCCATCCATCACTTGCTGCCTTCTAGAATGTGATCAACAGAAAGCTGGTTCTGAAGCAGAGTAGGAATTCAAATCGGGAACTCAGATGCGGGATGCACGTTATTGGATGCCCCTGGGCTGAATGCCTGTCTAGAGACAGAGAGATCTTGCATTTGCTGGTCACTCCTCAAATACATTCAACAGGAAGGACTGGCGGCAGGGGCTCAGCCCCTCCTGATACACCCACTGCTTCCCGGGGTGTGCGGGGTGTAAGTTAGCAGGAAACTGGGATGGAAAAAGGATTCAGGACCCAGACACTCTGGTTTGGGAGCTGAGGCAAATACCCATGCTGCTTCCCCTTCCACACACACTAAACAAAGGAGCAGATGCAAACATATACATATATATATATATTTCTCATTTTGCCTTCTTTCTATATAACAAGTAGCTTAGTCTGGATGTCCCTGATGTTTTAAAGCAATGGTGTGTATTAAGTGTTTGTATTGATATCCTGCTTCTGCTTGCTTCTGCTTGTGGCTGCTACTTCCCAACACTGAGGATGCCACAGCTGTGCACTTTGTCCTTGGCCACTCCGTGCCTATGGCATACTCAGGACACTGAGCATCCCCACTGGCCGCCAGGGTCCTCGCAGGTCTTCATAGTCCCTCATTCGCAGGGTGGTGCATAATTATGATTTTAAAGGAGGTCCTCTGAGAACAACTTTGGCTTTCTCATTTTTCCTCCCAGAAAGGATGACTTCAGCTTAGTTGTCTTTATTTTTAAGATGAAAAACACAGGACTACTTACAGACCAAGACCACACAGCCACCAAACAGCAGAAGAAAGTGGGAATCTGGGTTTTCTCAAGAGCAATCCTGATACGCTTTCCACAATAGCACTGTGTTAGACTCACAAAGCCATCCCTTTTCACTCGATAATCCCTGCCCCTACTTCAGCTCTCCCTGGAGTGGACAAGATTGGAAAAATAACTGGGAACAGTTTGGCAAACTAGGCTATTCTATGCATGATGTCCTTTGTTTATTTTTAAATACACATTTACTTAACTCACTGATTCTCAGGAGAACTTAGTAAAATGTGTGAAGCAGTTATTATTTCTAGTTTATAACCAGGAAGTGGGTGAACCAAGAGAAAGGTTAAGAAGCCTGTTTTGGGTAACATTGTTTCTTAATTTCCAGCATGTTGCTCTTCCCTAAGACTATATGCT